CCGGATTTATATGCATTTTAAATTGTAAAATATACATGTATACAAGCACTAAAAAAGACAAAATATTCAACAAAAAAAAATACACAACATGCAAAATTTTATTTTATTTTAATTAATTTTATATTTGGTTTTAATTTTGCAGTGATTATTTTTTATTAATTTTACTTAAATTTTCATAAACAAAAAGTATAAGATGTATAATATAGCAAATATGCAATACAAAAATGGAATTTGTTAAATTGTAATTTAATTTTTAATCACTAGGAAATACATTGTAAAAAATATTTTATTAAAATTAAATAGTAGATACATTGGTGATATAAATAGGAAAAAAGCACGATTTAATGTAGTATGTTAATTGGAAAAACAATAAGTTATCAAAGTATAACAAAATTAGATAAAACCACGTCTCTGCTAAAAAACTCATACAACCAACCTATATAGAAGTTTGGTAACTTATTTTTAGCTTCCGAATATTCTTTAAGTCGTAAAATATTTGATATTATATAAATTATAAACACACGTACCTATAATTTGTTTTTTTTTTTTTTTTGTTATTGTTCAACACCTTTTTGGATCGTTAGATGTATATTTGTACGGTTATTTGTTAAAATATGCAAACATATGCAGAATATGCACTAACGTCAGAATATGTAAAAATATGTAGTATAAAATTTTGATATTTAATCAATCAATTAATAATTTGTGGACATTCATTGAGTGCATTTATATGATGTTGAAAATAGCAACATACATTTTATACAAAATACGGTCTTTAATTATTATAACTTACGTCCAAAACTATTATTCAAGATAACAATTATAATAAACGGTACGTATTTAAATGAAAATGATAATTAATATTAGCTATTGTATTTCTATGTAAATAAATATAATGTTCATTCTTTTGAGCGTTTTACGGCCATCATAAAATTACTTCAATGTTCTTGAAAAAAATGCGTGCATAAAAGTAAATACCGCACTGCAGTGGAAAATATATCCGACATGACCAACACGTGTATACTCAATTTACCTATACAGATATAACAATAAAAATGGGTGCGTGAGAGAGAAAGGGTAATAGAATGAGTGATAAAGAATGAGAGAGCATAAAACGTTTGCCTCATCCCTCCATAAAACCACAAGAAGTGGAAGTTTGTGTTGGTGAAAGGTGTCAAAACCGCGGAACATTTAGATTACGTGTCATGAAAGGTGGCATGCTAATTTAAAAGAAACCACACCCTCTTGGTAAATATGTGTAACTATAAGTACAATCAGCATCTCTATATGTAAAATAAAAATTATAAATTTAATAACATAAATTTATTGTTTAAACAAAATAATGAAATGTTATTAACACTTCAGAAGTTTTTCCTTAGATTTTTGAACAGACTCAATACTTAATGCAATCATCTAATCAATAACTCAATAACTCAAATATACCAACTAGTTAAAATTTACAATAATTTATGGAATAATAATATTGTTCTGAGATGTTATGTATTGTATTATGCATTATAAAAATATGTCTATAATATTTATACCTAACCTTTAGTAAAGTTTTATTGATTAACGAATCAAAATAAATAAACATAATCATTTATTATAATTCAATAAAGGCGATAAAGTTAAAATATTCTAGTTCAAAGGATTTCATATAATGTTATTTATACTTCATCTATTAAGTCGATAATCTTTTTATTTAGAAACTGATTACGATAATAAAAAATTATTTTTTTTTAACTAAAGCAAAATAACATATTATATGCGTTTTCACTTTGACTCATAATTAAATTTTTTCGAATATCTATACCATTTTATTAAATACAATGATAAAAAAAATAATAAAAATTAATACTTAAAAAATCAATAATTCTAATCAAAACAATTTAATATGCTCTTCAATCTTTGCAAGATGTGGCTATGTTTGCTCACAGATAAAAAATATATTGTAGTATCAAAATATTAAAAATATTATAAATTTTTGATCAGAATCAACGACAAAAATAAATAAATATGTAACTTAAAAAGTAACATAACAATTACTTATCGTACTTATTTTAGTATATTGTATATTAAAAATTTTAATTTTCAATACAAATAATTTTAAAAAATATCCTCAAATCAATAAGAATATTTTTATTAATTTGTATAATATCTTGAGAAACAATGATATTTTATATAGTACTATTACAATATAAGATTATGAATAATAATGTATTTCATTAGAAGGTGTAACGACCCTCAACATGGTCAATCAAAATATGAATTAAATTTGTTGATTATGGATATTAATAAAACAAAATAAATAAATTTAATAAGAACTAAATCATTCTATTGCTGAAAAATATAAATAACATAATATAATTATTTTATCTTTTAATAATTTATTCAAATATGTTAAAAACAGAATTGAGAAAATCGCAATAAAATAATAAAAAAAGTTTTAGAATATAAAATTCAGTAAAAATATATACTTATACAGGAAAACATAAATAAATATATCTATAAATTTAAAAATATTTGCACAGTAAAAACAAATTAACACAGGTATTAACGAACAAACACAAAAATTAATTATTAAAATTAATTCGTAAAATATATCAAACATAATATTGTATAATTAAATGGGAATTAAATTTCAATCAATAACTACAATTAATTTACTGTAAATAGAATATACTAATTTAGAAATAACTTAATAATTACAATAATATAAATTTAAAACGAATCATTATTTGTAACTTTAAATGTTTGTTAAAACATTTGTTGAAAAAGATTTAGGGATATTTATTTTACATAGAATTATGAAATTGAACTCAAATAAATTTTGTTTTGAAATATAAAATCTTAAAATCAGTAAAACTCAAAATAATTCATTACTAATATTATAATCATCCCTAAAAATTTCCAATTTTACCATAATTTATTGTTTTAATTTTAAATTTTAAACGCACAAAAATATCAAATATTATTTAATTATTGTTATTATTTTTATAACGAATCAAAATCTATATAAGATATATTTATCTAATGGTATATCTGCAAATAAATGATAATTAAAATTAATTGAAATTAAAGCTTAACAATATTATTATAATGTATACAAAAAATATAGTTTTAAAAATCAAAATACAGGAAATCTTAAAGTAGATACAAAAATTAAACATAAAAGAAGATTAAGTGTAATATTAAATATATATAAATGATATTTTTTTCAAAAAATACTGTAATTCTATAACGATACATCAACAAAATTTAAAAAACTAAATTTATTATGATTATAAAAATTATAATTTAATATTATGAAATTTTTGAAAACTATTTGTATTAAAAACAATATTATTCCAACGATTTTAAAATATAAATCTTAAAATGATATTTATACTTAGAAAAATAAACTCTCATCAACAAAATAGAATTATGTTACATTTTGCGAATTTGTTGTTTTTCAAAAGTAAAATTCATCTAATAGAATTCAAATTAATTAATTTTAATTGTCGATATTATTTTATCCATTACTTCCATTGTTTTTAATATCAAATTTTCATTAGTCCAAAATAATAAGCATTAAAACTCTTAATGGCTAATTATCATGACTAAATTATACGTTTAAGTATTGTAGTTTAACATATAAACATATACGTGTAATATGCGTTATATAATTATATTATATAAGCACACGCATAAAAATTACTTTTTTACATTTATACGACTTTTATGTCCAAAATTAACGTATTATTTATTTACCTTAAATTAATGATTTAAATTTTTAAAAATATGAAAGCATAATATCACCCACGTGTTTTAGTTATGATATTATTTTTATATCTGATTAGAAAAGCTGAGTAAGTAAATTATAATTAAGTATCAAAATACTATAATTTTAAACATTTTTTTACATTCTTAATACGAACGTTTAAAATTAATATTGAATAAAATTAAAAATAATGATACTATTAATTATATTTTGACCATTTCATAACATCTATTTACGATTTTTAATATTATACATGTAATACATGTATGTTTGTAATTATCAAGCTCAATACAATAAAACTGTTTATTTGTAAACTAAGTACTTGGTTGCAATCGGTATAATAATAACTACTATTATGCGCAATGTTAATAGTTTTATAGTATTTAATTTATAATTTTTAAGACTCCCGCGTCATTATCTTTAGTTAAACTGACCCATAGAATATGCAACTCCTGACTTGCTAAATAGAATACACTCTTCTAAAATAGATATTCAACTAAACTTCATTGCGTGTATTATTACCAGTGTAATAAAAACTATCCCAAACCAATAGCTAACAGTGCTACGTAACATAGCCTGTCTCATACTCTGGCGTGTGATGGCCACTACAAAAGAAAAAACTAAATATACTAAATATACACGTAAAAATAAACTCCAAATTAGCGTAGATATTCTTTTGTTCAAATTTTGGGGGTTAAAATGAAGAAACCTTGCTGTATCACAGCCAATTAATTCACCAAAACCACTCCGATTAAATCAAAACTGAAGATCGAAATGCAAAAATCGTCATACATTGACAGTCAGCAATCGATATACATAAGACCTAGTATATGGATTCATGCTAAATGATGATATCCATCTTAAAATCCTATCTAATCCGGGCTTTCAATAGACCAATAAAGGAACTTCACGAAGTTGTAAGTGCAGCGGAACCATACACTTAACCTTCAGTACAGAAAAACAACAAGTTTTTATTATTCATTGTACATTATCATTTTATGTTTATTTCGCTAATCGTTTAATCTAATTATGATTCGATTTAGTTTAAATTGAAATCATTTATTTATTGTGTTATACTGCATGTTTAAATCATACGTATATAATAATAATAATAATGGCCATCGATAATTAAATTAACATTGTTTGAAAATATTTTATAGATATTTCACAGTTTTAATTAATATAAACTCAACTAATATAATTTTAGAATAATAAATTTAATTATATATTATTTACTTACCCTTTTTAGCTTAATTTTACAGTTGTTCAATGAAGAACCCAACGAATAAATTATCAATAGACATCTAAAATAAAAAATAAACAAATTAATTATTATTATTCATACTCAGATTGACTATTTTAGAAGCTTAAAATTTAAATACCATAAATTTACTGAGTATTTAGTAAAATTTTTGTCATTTCTCATGTCAGTATTGATAAAAATATAAGGATATGTATAGATACATAATTTATACAGCTAGTATTGTCATACTATTTTTTGTTCTAAATATTAAATAAAATTTAAAAATAAAAAATCAAATAAGATTTCATAGAGTACATAATACAGAGTATTAAAATAGCTTAGAGAGCATTTTTATTTGTTATGCTGAATTGTAATTTCATAAAAAATATGTAAGTAATAGTAAATTATTTATTTTTAAAATAATTATTGTATCACAGTTTATACATTAGGAACCATTAATTGTATATTTGTACTATATTAGAGATTATACGAGTTCTAATTATAAAAGCGACTAACTAAGCGGTTTATTATAAATTATATTTCCTATTAAATGATTGTGATTTTAACAGTAATGCTAAACACCTATATATAAAAGCCAATTAATTATTAAACAATATTCACATATGACATTATTTTACTGTTATGTAGTAACTATAGTAAGTATGTCACTTTATAACTCGATTTGTATTTGTCAGTTTATAGTGTTTATAACTACCGTGATATAAGTTGGTTAATTAATGTTCCTATAAAGGACTTAAAATTATTCTATAAGTTTTATAACTCAATTTTAATAACCTTTTAAGATTAAATTTAAATGTATTGATTTGATTGTTCAGTAATTTTTTTTTTTTTTTTTTGCAAAGGTAGTAACAAAGAAACATTAGTACAATATAATATTCGATGGGTCTATTGATTCAAAGTTTTCTTAAAAGAACAATATGAATAGCTCAGTTCGACCCAGTAATATTTTCAAACATAAGCGCCTGTAATATATGTATTATAAGATAGTAAAATAATTTTATTTTTAATTAAAGTTTTTGAGCCTTAAATTAAAGATTCAAAAAAATCCAAATATTGTGTATATTAAAACTTTTGCAAGTTTTTTTTCATTCAAAAGGTTTTTAATTGAAAATAAAACTGATGCGATACTTCAGAAGAATTATTTTACTAATACAAATTTTACCAAATACAAATTTAGAAACATACTCGTATTATACGAACTCTAACAAACTAACTAAATCCCTTCGTTTTCTATATATTATATAATATGTTACATATTAAACATCATTCCGCAATGTTTAAAAAACAATTTTCTTCATTGCTTATGAGTTAATAGTATAAATAATTATTAACGGGTCCATTCAAAGCGATATCATGTAAAATATTTAAAATATTGTGTAGTAAAATCGTTTAAGTGGCCTCATTTTATGAAAATTTGATTTCAGGTTCTTAAATCTATATACTCATCACAAAAACGTGTTTGTAACACTTAATCATTACCTAAGGTGGACGTTTGACTATCTGAGAGATGATGCTTTTTATTTCAGTCCTAAGATCAATAAATGTAATACCTACACATTTTATCTGATATAAAACGTCAAGAAAACAACTGCTTAGGTAGTATTTTTTAGATAAATTAAGTTACAAAATAATATAATAATATTTAATATACTATATCCATTTAAAATATTAGCGTTCTGACGTAAACGCATAGAAATAATCCTACATATTATTAAACGCGAATTCATTCAGCTTGACTTTTGTTTTACATATTAAGTCTTCCAACAATTTATGCATTTCGTATTGGAATCAAATATCCAACAAAGCATTCTCACACTAATTCCGCGTACGTTTATTTAATTTTTTTAACTCATTTACGCATAAACGACGTACGATACACACAGATGTATTCGACCAATCGTTTAGTGATCTCTTAAAATGTACCTCGTCTAAATGATGATGATGATGATAATAATAATAATAATAATGTGTAATAGTTGTAAAAAAAAAAAACAGGAAAATGGAAAAAAATGGAAATAAACATAAATTGACTATGGGGGAAATCTGCCGTCACGCGCAGACGAATCTGAGAACGTGCACTCACGTGTGTGTCTAATGACAAAGTGCGGAGGCAAGTCTGAACATCGCGCCCTCCACACGTCGTCGTAGTCTGCGCAAGAGATATCGTATCGTAAGCTTGAGGACGGGCTTGCCGGTAGCTAGGAGAAAAGAAGGACCTACAACCACCGCCACCGCCGCCGTCGTCCAAAAGTCACGTGCACCGCGGCAACGTGATGGAGATATACAATGGTTTTTCAGCGCGAAAGCATTTCGACCTGCAATGATATATATATATATATATATAAATTATATTATATTAGACTTGCGTCCGCGTAATATATACATATACAACGCCATAACGGCATATTGTACGACAAAAAGCGTGGAAATCGATTCGTTTTCTTCCCCCCCCCCCCACATTTCTTCGTTTTCCTTGAGAAATACAAGCGCGGCGGCGGTCGAATTGCTGGCGCACGTGAAATATTCCTGCACTGAGCTTATGTCAGCGATTTGTATGCAGCACAAACGGCCGCGGAACCATACGTTTATAATAATACATAATGCACGCGTGTACAGACGACGTTCGATCCGGTCTCGGTATACGATTCCGGCTTGTCTATTGACCGAGACGACCATAGTGCTTGGACCAAGTACATTCACGTTCTGCGAGTGCACGCCGTAAGCATGTACAGATATACTGCAGAAGTCTTGCATTGCAATTTTATAGTACCCAGCACGCGACGACCAAACGAAATTGTCGTGCGCTGGACACTATTATTCGTAGACCCGCAGTCCAGAGGTTGTTCCAGTAAAACCTAGGCCGTATAAACGAATATATTTAATAAGACTCGCGTTATCTCGCCAAATGGAAAACGACCTGTTTTTAATTTTCATACTATTGTGTAGTTATACGGTTCACTACATGAAGTATATGTTTTATATGTATATCGAATAAGCTTAATAATAAAACAATTGAACAATTATATTATTTTTAAAACACATAACACTTATTGATCCGGTGAAAATTCTCGAGATTTTTCATGCACCTAGTCTCTCTACAAAATTTGATACTGCAAATATACATTATGGCGTATAAGCTATCATCATCATCATCACCATCAGCGCCAACCATCCGCTAGACTATAATATAATATGATAATATTATAACACGAATTTTTAATGGTACAAAAATACGTAATATATGCGTATAAATTAATGTATAATATTTGTAATTAACGGTTAGGTTTACTTACTCGTTCAGTAAAAAATAATATTTAAACCCGTTAAATTTTAACTTACGCACTATAATGTGATAAAAATGTTAAGCCCCCGAACCTATGAAAGTTTAAAAGTATCTTAGTTTTTATTTTATAGTAATAAATTACGAAAAACAAAAGTCATCGTGAACAACTTTTTACTCGGATACCTAATACTGATTAAGTTCATAATTTTGCGTTTGTGCGTTTCCCGCTTATGGACGACTCCCAACTTTTTTAATACCTGGAGTTTTTGAGTGTAAAAAATGTGAATAAACAATATCAACATTTTCTGAATTATTTTTTTATTGTGTTCTACCCTAACTCGGAGGGTACTTTAACAATTAATATGCCGCTACTGGAGGTATACATTACCTAACCTAGTCTAATGTTAAAATCACATAATAACCAAGTATTGTTAAGTTTTAAAAATATTTATGTTAAAAAATCAATTATTTAATTACTAAAATATGTCAATATTATAATAATTGATTACAATTTGCAATCAATAAATATATTCTGCAATACCTTTTTTGAAACATATATAATATATAAAATGTATATTATACATACTAATTACGGAGGTCAATATTTAAAATTTTATACTTTATATAGTTTTGTATTTCTAGAATAATGTGAAAATAAAATCAGTGAAGAAATACAGAGAACAATTGTTTAAAAAAAAAAACATTTTGGTATACTCAAAATGTTTATTCTTCAAATGCGATATTTTTTTTTTCTTGTTACGCACCTTTGTCTTTAACAATAGACAAACGTCTACGTTACGGTATTATGCATAAAAAAAAATATATAATAATAAGTATACCTAGATTATATTATAGACTTCTTACGACTTACCTTAATACTATGCATAGACGGTTATCCCTTCGGGCAAAAGAATCAATCGAATAAAGTACTGTTGTATAGATTAAATAATACTCAATATTAGATTTTAGATCTTGTACCTGCCCACTAATCATTTATTTTATGTGACCCATTGTTTTTCAACTCTGACGATGGATCGAAATAGTTTCATTATATTTATAGGTATATCTACCATGTGAGGTGTAATTTTGTAGAAATTTCAGTTGTTAACACAAACTATTTGTGCTGGTGTGGAATTATCGAAAGAGATTCAAGCTCATTTACTTCCTTTACGCGAAAAATAATATAAAATATTTATACAACAGTGTAATGGTTGTGTTGTGTTTAGAAAACACGCAATGCAATAGATTGTACGCACGTTCATAACATAGAGTCTAGTGATAATTTTATTTATAAGCTTACGTGGTGTTTCATTTTCATTTTCACAATAATATAACATACAGTATAGATGTGTGTGGGGGGATGAGGGTTCCAACCTGAAATAGTGTTAAACAAAATCTTTATATTAGTAGAAAATATTAATTTTGATAACAGATTATTGTAGCATTATTTTTACTTTTAAAATATAAACAAAACACATAAAAACTGTTATTTAAAATAATTAACTGAAATATTCTAGATTTCACTCACACGTTGTGACCGAATCTACCAATTATTTTACAATGAAAAATGAAAATTATAATTTTTTGAAAGAAGCAAAAATATCTATCGATCTTAAAATATTGTTTTTTTATTTATTTTTTTAAAAGTATTTTCTATTAAAAGGAGTGTTTCAAAAGTTCCATGTATGTATAATACACTTACTTATACATTGAATATTATTATTAAAAGATAAAAGAAAAGAAAACATTTCAATCTTTTATACACAATTTTCCTAATTAATTTAAACATATTTAACATAATCAACTTAATAACTTGGTAAATAGATACAAAAATCTGAAAATTAGAGACTAATTAATCGAAATAAATAAATATTCACTTATAATTAATTCACATTAGATATAAAGTAATTTTAAAAGTTCTTTTCTTCAATCTCAAATTGTTATTAAAACACTATAATTTATTATTATTATTATTCATCTCGGTTCAAATAAATATTTAATCTTGTTACTAATTTTAAATCAACGATAAAATGTGTATCTCGAAGAACGATTATTATGAACGATTTACTATTAATAATAGAGTTAGCAGAACGTTAGTTTAAATCTAAGTGTATGTAAATTAAATTTATGAGAATATATAATACTGACAATATATTATAAAATATACTATAATTAATAAACATCTAGTAGTTAAAATTTCTAAAAACCAAAAATAAAAATAAAATTCTAATGAATTTAAAAAAAAATTAATTATTATTCGAATATTATAGATTTTAAAAATAAATCTAAAAACAACCCTTTCGTAAAATGAATACATTGAATTAAAAACAAAAATTTCTTTAAAAATTATAATGTAATAATCTCTAAGATGTTATAGATTTAGTTAGAAATTTTTTAGATACAATTAACTGTGCGAATCAAAATCCATGGAGAAACTATATAATAATATCACGTCGTGAATCCTACAAAAAATATAAATTCATAAAATACAGCACGAAAAAATTTACAATAATGATGAAAACATTAATAATAGTACAATATTTTGATAACTTAAAATTATATTCCGTATGAAGCTACTCAATGATGACAAAAAATGTATTTCATTTTTTTCCCCTGTCAGCGTTGGCACTTGTAATAAACTTAATATATTTTTAACTGTTACTAGTAAATATTAAAAAATACCATCACATTCCTATCGTAAAAAATTTATAGAAATAAAAAATTAATCATAGTATAAAAACAATTTATTGTAGAATTCAATACTATGTTTTCTTTCAACTTTCCACTATATTTTAGCGCCCCGTAAACAAAACGCAAATCACACTTCATTGCAGTAATTCGGCTAAACAGGGTAAAACTAGCAACAGCTTGTTTCGTTCAGAATTGTAAATCTACAATGACATTTATACATACCGACCGGCTACAAGAATAATATATTTCTGGATCAAAAGAAAAGACGGAGTGATGATTTCTTTTATTAGATGCTCTATACGCAATACCCACACAAATATTGCTTTGCCACCATCGTGCTATTCGCTGAAAATGCTGGTTGAATAATGAAAAACGACATCTACAAACACGTATTCGGTATTTACAAGACAAAGTAAACGGGATCAATGCAAGAGACCTTCGCGTAGCGAAACAAACAGTTATTTGCGCATGGTATAGGCCTAACCTCGAAAACAACGACCTTTGCCTGAGCTCGACGTAAATTAAAAATCTCACGTCTTATCCCACGTTATCACCGTTTTGTCTCACTCTAAATACAATTTTCTGAAATAAATCCGCTCGAAGTCTACTTTACAAAGATTTTTCAGCAATATAATATATCATGACACTTAATAGTTATTATATAATTAACAATACAACAGTAAAATTTTAATTTCTCACGGCGGTGTATATTTGTGTTTTGAATTTCATAAGGAGCAAAGAATGATTTACAATGATGTATATTTTTATTTTTTAAATTCTGATCGGTTAGGTTATTATATTGATTTTATCTTAATGTGGTTTTTTTTTTTTTGTAAATAAATATCTACACAATAAGTTGTTAATAAAATGCTTCAATTTTCAAAAATGGAGGTGGTTTTGGATATTAAATTGGATCTAACTTGTACTTTAAAGAGGTCAAATTTAAAAATTCTCAGTACTTATTTTTGTAATGAGGAAGAACAAACAAAAAATTAAGAAAAAATAGGAATTTTTGTAAATATAAATCTAATTTTTACAAAATCGATTTTGTTTTTTATGTAATATGAAAACGAATAACCGTTTATATTGTCGTTTTTTATTTACGATAAAATCATCGAAACCATTTTTAATCAATGTATAGATATAAAAAATTTAATTCTTTTAAATGTCGATTAAAAATTATTTTCTGAGTAGAAATGCTTGGAAAATGAATACAAAACTTCTGATAAGTTGTTAATTTATCAATTAAAAAATATCGAAAATCTATAACCACGATATTTTTTTAAGCGTTTTAAGTTGAAACTAACAAAATTCAGAAAAATCGCGAAAATTAATAAGATT